TCCTTCCTTCCTTCCTTCCTTCTTTCCTTTCCTTCCTTCCTTCCTTCCTTTCTTCCTTCCTTCCTTCTTTTCAAGAGAGAGAGAGTGTGAGTGGAGAGGGGCAGAGGGAGAGGGAGAGAGAGAATCTTAAGCAGGTGCCACGACCAGCATGGAGCCCACACAGAGCTTGATTTCTCAACCCTGAGATCATGACCCGAGCCATTGGACACTTAACCAACTGAGCTACTGAGGCACCCTCTTTTGAAGATTTCTGTTAATTTTTATTCAGATCATATATTTTCATGGATTTTGAAAAAGTCCAGGACCAAATTGTGAAATAGTATGAAATGTTTCAGAGAAATCACCACAAAGGAGAACAAGTAGTCTGCTAATGGCAATTGTTTCCTTACAATCCTCAATAATGTTCAAGTGTTTTTAATACTTAAGCCTCAGTATTCACTTTAAGTGAATAATAATTTTATTTTTTCTTCCATAAATGTAATATTTCTTTACTATAGAAAATTTAGAAAACACATATAAGATACAGAAAACAAAATAATCCACAATTCTACTACAGTGACTCTGAAAGCATTATTAGTATTTTGGTTTGTATCATGTTTACTCTTCATTCTGCATTTATATGCATATAAAATGTATATGTGCATTTTAAATAATGGAATTTTAAATAATGGGATTTGAATATTTTATAACTATCTTTTAAAACAAACCTTATGATATACTGAGAATATATTATTGTATGTTCTTTCATAACACAATTTTTACTGATTATATAATATTCTAGTACACGGATATGCCATACTTTCTTTTTAAATTTGCTATTACTGTACATTTAGATTATTTCCAATCTTAGTTTTTTTTTTCCAATCTTAGTTTTAAAGTATATTTTGTCAAATGTAAGTATTGTTAACCCAGCTTTCTTTTCACTTTCATTTGCATGAAAAATGCTTCTCCATCTGGTCACTTCAATCGCATGTGTCTTTAGGTCTGAAATGAATCTCTTGTAGGCAGTGTATAGATGGGTCTTGTTTTTTTATCCATTCTGTCACCGTATGTCTTTTGATTGGAGCATTTAGTCCATTTACATTCAAAGTAATTACTGATAGGTATGTATTTATTGCCATGTTGTTACTTGTTTTACAGTTATTTTTGTAGTTCTTCTCCATTCCTTTCTTCTCTTGATCTCTCATGATTAGTTGACTTTCTTTAGCGGCATACTTGGATTCCTTTCTCTTTATTTTTTTGCATCTCTATTACTGTTTTTTTTATTTGTGATTACCATTTGGTTTGTATATAACATCTTATGTATACAGCAGTCAGTATTAAGCTTATGATTGCTTAAGCTTTAACCCATTCTTTATTCCTCTCCTCCCCACCTTTTAAGTATATGATGTTATACTTTACATCCTTTTATTTTTTGAGTCCCTTGATTGATTTTTACAGATATACTTATTTTTACTGCTTTTGTGCTTCCTACTTTCCTTACCCCTACTTATGGTCTTTCCTTTCCACTCAAAGAGTTCCCTTTAACATTTCTTGGAGGGCTGATTTAGTGGTCATGAATTCCTTTAACTTTTGTTTGGAAAACTCTTCATCTCTCCTTCTATTCTGAATGATAGCCTTGCTGGATATAGTGTTCTTGGCCGCAGATTTTTTCCTTTCAGCACTTTGAATATATCATGCCACTCTCTTCTGGCCTGCAAAGTTTCTGTTGAAAAATCAGCTGATCACCTTATGGAGTGTCCCCTTCTATGTAACTGCTTTCTTTTCTTTTGCTGCTTTTAAAATTCTCTCTTTATCACTACTTCTTGCCATCTAAATTACAATGTTTCTTGGTGTGGACCTTCTTGGGTTGATTTGGGGGGAGAATCTCCTTACTTCCTAGATTTAGATTTCTATTTCTTTGCCCAGATTAGGGAAATTTTCAGCTATTATTTCTTCAAATAAATTTTCTGCCCCCTTTTCTTTCTCTTCTCCTTTTGGGATCCCTATACTGTGAATGTTATTATACTTGATGGTATTGCTGAGTTCTCTAAGTCTGTTCTCATTTTCCATAATTATTTTTTTCTCTCAGCTGCTCAGCTTGATGACTTTCCATTACTCTGTCCTCCAGATCACTGATTTGTTCTTCTGTTGCTTCTGGTCTACCATTTATTTCATCTAGTGTATTTTTAAATTTCATTTTTATCTTCTTCATCTCTGGTTCTTTTTTATCTCATTGTTAAGGGTCTCACTGATGTACTCCACTCTTTTCTCAAGTCCAGTGAGATCTTTATGATCATTACTTTAAATTCTCTATCAGGTGTGTTACTTATCTCCATTTTGCTTAGGTCTCTTTCTATGGTTTTATCTTGTTCTTTCATTTGGGAAGAATTCCTCTGTCTCTTTAGGTCTGTTTCTGTGTATTAGGAAAGACAACTACATCTCCTATACTTGAAAGTAATGGCCTTATGAAGAAGAGGTCCTATAGTGCCCTGCTGTGCAGTGTTCCCTGTTCATCAGAACCTGGCACTTCAGGGATGTCTCCCATGTGTGATGTGCATGCCCTGCTCTTGTAGCTGAGTTGCTTTTTCCTTCAGTCCCGTTGTCTATAGTGGCTCTCTTTGCCTGTTGTGGGCAGTGTTTGGTTACTGTGGTGTTAGTGAGCCAGTCTAGGGATGCCTTTGGCTTGAGTTCACTGTGTCTTAGAAATCTTTTGGTACCTCAGTTCTTACCATGCTTCACATGATAATTATTCCAAGCTTTCCTCATCCTCCCCCAGAGGAGAGATTTAAGGCACTAATTTCTACGTTTTGCATTGGTAGTAGAATCATGTACATTTTCCTTTAATAGAAAATCTTGGAAATATTGTTGGGCTTTACCTTTTTCCAGGTAGAGTACCATAACGTAATCATTGAACTTAAAGAAGTGGGAGAGGTTAGCTGATTACATTAATACTGCATATAACCCTCATAGAGAGCTAAGATATTCCTGCTTTGGAATATTTTCAGTTACGTGTCTATGTCCTACCTTAGTAATGCATTCCATAATTTAATACAGTCCCTTGAATTATTTCATATAGTAGACACAAATTAAGATAGTTGCCTGATATTTGGCATTCCTAAAGTCTGTCTGGGCTATCTGTCTATGTGGTTTGGCGGGAACCACTTCTTTTCCACCTCTAGACATTAGTGGATTTTAACAGCTGGGTGTGGTCATGGAAAAAGTATACACATCCTCTGAGATATAAAATCAGAGGCTTAACACTGGGGGAATAAAGAATTCACTAAAGTAATCCTAACAGTCTGAATAAACAAGCAAATAACAATAACAAACCTTGGAGTTGGGAGACCAGTGCCTGTTTCATATAATCCTTCTCTCTAGGGATGGGCACAATACCTAAACAGCCCAAGAAAGCCTTCCATGGCATATTTTATAATGGGAGATGTTGGGTAAGATTTCTCTCCTCTCTGAAAAGATCTGAGGATGTGTGTTTAGGACTGCTGGCAGCCACATCACCTATCCTACACAGAAACTGCCTGTAGTGGAAGAGAACAAAGGCAACATGGAAGAGAGAAAT